ATCCTGGACAGAAGACTGAGATTCGTCCCCCATATTACTTCTCTCAAGTCCAGATTCTCTCAAGCTCTTAAAGCAATATATCCCCTTATCATTAAAAACTCTCCGCTGTCAATCGAAAACAAAATTTACACTATACAAATCCTGCATCAGACCGGTTCTCACCTATGGTTGTCCGGTATAGTGCAGCGCATCTAACACACAATACATAGCTTTGCAGCGACTGCAAAATAAAGCGCTTCGGCACATCACCGACATGCATGAAACAGCAGGCCTCCCTTATCTGAAAGAGTATGTCATGGATCAGGCAAATAAATTTTACACTAAGAAACTACACCGTCACACGTTAACACGCCATATAACTACGCTCAGACAACACCACAATGCGCGCTATAAACATGGCAGATTGCCGATATTTCGCGACCCCCCGGTGCATCACTGACACCGCGGTAGCTTAACCTTCAGAACAATACGCGACGTGGGAGATGTCTGATGATTTAGGACTTTAGGGTTCTCGACCTTGAGACATCTCCAACCAGACTTTCAACATCCCCTTCAAATCCAACCGTAGTACCATGGTGCTGCAGGTCTTTTTTCTTCATTCTTTCTTTATCTTTTGTTTATTTTTTCCAAATTTTTTAAGAGGGTTTTGAATTATTTTTCCCTCGAAATCATTCTTCTAAATTCTTCAACATCATCATTCTTTTTCCGCCAATTTTCTAGACTTTTATTCTTCTACCCGGATCAAGCTGGCCTCACATTCGCTCTGCGAGAAAAGGCCAGACAAACTCCATGCCAATAAAAAAGGGCTTAGTACAAGGGACAAAGACCGTCGAAAGACTGCGTTGCTACCACCCGTACCACGCATCTTCACCGCAGGGAGGCTCAAGAGGTGGAACCACACTTCCAACCCTTTTTATGATTTGTAATTATTTAATTGAGAAATATATTGATTTTGATTTTGACAGAGCCGTAATCAATCTGCGCCACGGTACCGGGTTCGATTCCCGGTCACAGCCTTGGGTGTTGTGGTTGTTTTTAAGAGCAAAAAAATATATAATAATGAGCTGGCTAAATAGTTGAAAAGACTAAAAGCCAATAAACCTTAAAAAAAAAATTAAACCACTAATTATGTAACATCGAGAATAAACAATCAAAATCATCATTTCAATTTATTTTAAATTTTATTAACCAAGTACAACACAGTAAGAGAAAACACCAAAATCCACCAGCCGCCACGCTAGAAAACAATGGACACAATAAGGTATTATTACACTCGTTGAACAATAAAAAAGAAAAAGACAATAATTGTTAATGTTCTTAACAATCATTATAAATAATAAATTACAGCTATTTTTTACACACAGTTGATACATACTTAAATAAATATTTTAAACATTATTCACATACTTGTAATTAAATTTTAATGGCAAATAGGTAATTCCAAAAAAACATATAAATGTTAAAAAACTTACCTAATCTTTAATAAATAGATACCAAATTGCATTTTTTCACTATTAAATCATGGTTTTAGTGAGTCGGGTTCATAAAATCTCTTTGGAATTAAATTTTAAAAGTAAATAATCCCAAAAAACAATGTTAAAAAACACTTAGCTGCCAAATTATTTTTACAAAAGTAATAATTTTTATTTAATTTTTTATTTGATTGTGGAACAAAATAATACTTGCAACTCGTGTTGTATAGTCGATTATTAACTTGCATTCTTGCTACGCTCGCATACCAAACCAATGCTCGTTTATAAACGACTATTTTCTTCATATGTTGCACAATATACTATTTTTTTATACTTGTACCTACCCTTTTTGATACAAATAAGTTGTGTTACTATATTTTCGTGCGTAGCGTCTATTTCGCCATTAATTAAACTTTTGTAAAAATATTAAATTCAATGTGTAATGTAATGTAATGTAACATTAAAAATTTAACCCATAAATTACCAAACTATTAAATAGTGTTTAGGCTCAAACTGCATACTCCACAAATGGACAATAGGATCCATTTGCTTAATATTTTTTGGATACTATACCATAAAATTTAGTGATATATACACTGAAAGAAATATATGTTTGTTTTAGCAATGTATGTGGTAGTCCATATATATGAAACATAAAATATATTTGCCTTAACCATATTATGTTAAAACTAAATATAAAAATGGTTAAGGTAAATATATTTTATGTTTCATATATGGACTACCACATACATTGCTAAAACAAACATATATTTCTTTCAGTGTACATTATATCATACAACTAATCAAGTCCTACATAACTTAATAGTTTATTAGGTATCAAGTTTAATAAACGCCATTTTAGTCATAATTAATTAATTTATCACTAATTTATTTAAATATTTGTATAGAGCGACATATATACAAAAATATAGTAGCATTAACTTGCATTATAGATGCATTAACTGGCATTTTTGCCCCGTTCGCTACGCTCGAGTACCAAACAAGTGCTCGTTTATAATCGACTATTTCACTTGTTGCACATTAAACTATTTTGTTACACTTGTACCCCTTTATGATATAAACAAGTTGTGCTACTATATTTTCGTTCGTCACGTATATTTCGCCATTCATTAAACTTTTGTTAAAATATGAAATTCAATGTTTAATTTGCTTACATTACACAGCTTAAGGATTTGGTTAACATCAAATAGTTTCGTAATTTATGGGTTAAAAAAGAAGGGTCTTGACCAGTCACGTTCAAACTCTTGACGAGGTAAGACATAGTAACCAAGACCTCGCTTGAAACCGAAATTTTACATCCCACAATGAACTAATCCTACATTACAAAAATGCATTGTATCTTCAGTGAATTAAAAGCTACCTTACGGTCATGGAAGTAATAGAGTGTGAAGTGATAAGTGACAGCATACCTGGTAAAAAAACAATGTAAAATAAAGAGCAACAGCAACATGGATAATAAGACAATAGTGACAAAACAATAAAAAAAAAAATCCAAGCCGTCCTAAATCTTAACGCTGGCATTCACGGGATTATAGCTGGGCAAGACATTAAATCAATCACCAAGTAAGTCACAAAATTGATAAACTCAAAAGACCTTTTCCAATAAATAAAAGTGTGTAAACTAATTAAGACATAAATAAACATATAAACCTAGGAACTTACACCCTACGTCAAAAATGCAATAATCGAACTCAGCAGTCGTTACGAAAACATAAAAGACAAAGACGGACAAACCAATGCGTACTTAAACCACAGTATAAAAAACTGTAATCTGAGCTTAAACGACTAAGGCAAAAACGGCTATTGGGAAGGAGTGAAAACAACACTAGCCGCCTCGGACGTCTTCAACGCAGCAAATGAAACCACGACCAGGGAGGAGGCAGGGTGAAGGTCAAGCCGTAGCCTACGACAAGGAAGATAAGTCCCTACAGCCAACTAACAACTTACCAACTCCAAATAGTAAATCCTAAATTTGGAGTAACACTAATTTCCCGGTCTATAGAGATTCCACGTCGTACACAAATTTGAGTAAGCGTAATTGTCCCCTAAAAATCAAAATATCTGTCCCCCCGTCCCCATCTCCTTTTATACCTACTGGGCATATAGCAATGACGGCGAAACCGGGAGATGTCCTATTCAAACTATTCGCATGTCGCTCTCGAGACCCAAATATTCGCGAAAAAAATCGGCGTACGGTAACGGAGGCTTGTACGAGGCTCGGGAGAGATAAGGCAATGGGGCCGGTTATACGGCTCTTATACTCATACACATACTCAAAAAGAAATAGTCTCTATTAATTCAAAAATTCAACCCATATATTACTAAACTATTAAATAGTGTTTTGCTTTAAACCGCATACTCCACAAATGGACAATAGATTTTGGACACTGTCTATTACAAATCTTTGGGGATACTTCACATCCCACGCATCTGTTTTTGTCTTTAACGAAATTTTATGTTATCTACACTTTCACACTCATATTATCAGTCCTAGATCCTTGTGCTCGTTCGAAAACACCTTATTGAACTTAAACACTTGACGCCTAATTTAACCTACATAAACAAAAGTCTTTAAATCTAAACATTCTCACAGGGTCTGGGATGCTACATTCGGCCATCCTGACCTCTGTCTCAGAGGTTGTCCTCGGCTTCTGTATGGCTGGTTAGGATACCCTTATCATAGTTGGCCCATGGCTTCATATTATCCGCCGAACAAGATGTTTTCCGTGGTCCTTCGTGTTCTCCAACTTTTATGACCGTACAGCGATCATGTCGCATAACGCCATTAATCTTGTACGGTCCTAGGAATTTGCTGCGCAGCTTTGACCCAGGCATGTACTGCGTCCGTTTGATTTCCACCAGGACGCATTCCTTGTACTTAGTAGCTGCCTTACGCCTCCGGTTGTAACCCCTTTGGTTCTCCTCCTGCGTTTTGGATATTTTCTTCTTCGCTGCCTCTTTTAGTTCGTCACGATGTTGACTTTGTTGAGTAAAGCCACTCACATTTAGTGAATAAATCAACCACTACAAACAGATGCTGATATCTCTTCTTTATTGCCGTCATGGGTCCAAGATGATCCACATGGTATGTGTTTAAAGGTGCATCACCTTTATCAATAGGGTTCAACAGCCCCTCTGGTTTTTCGTGTTTACGCTCAGCCAGTATACAGTTAATATAATTTGACACCACTTTTTCGCGTAATCCCGTAAACCAAAAGTTTCTCCGAACTATAGCGTCTTATTTACACCAAAATGTCCGCGTTTATGAGCTTGACACACAACTTGTATTTTCATTGTCTTGGGTCACTTGTAATGAACCATTAGTATTTCACCGCAGTTTTCTGTTACCTGCAAGAAGTAGTACATCCACCAGCCAACACATGCCGTACCATGTACTAAAACAACTAATTTTGACAACCCATTGGAGCAGAACGTTGTGATGTTGTTTTTAGACTATTTCTTTGTGCAAGTTTTAGCTATAAAAGGCGGATTTGGACATTATTAAAATCAGTCTATTGGTGGCTCAAATTCCGACTGGTCTAATACTGGATGAAAGAACCAATACCGAGACTTGAATGCACAAGGACTAGTTTCTAGTGATATAAAACAGTATGTTAACCTGGGGCTTGTATGCTGGGCTTTTATGCTGAGCTTGTATGCCGTATTTAACCTATTTGCTATCCTGCCACCCGTCCTGTAATTAATAATTTATCTACATTTAACATCCAAGTGAACATAACCTCACTTATATATTTTGCATTAAATATTTCTTCTTTATAGCCCCAGTTGCAAGTGAACCTGCCTGTCTGTGGAGGAAAACGGAGCCTGTACCTGCCTGTTGCCTTTTGGGGTATCAAAGAACGAAATATTGACCTGTTTGCACACATAACATTGTATAATACCTGTCTACGATAGACCTTTATTTTATGTATATATCCTTTACTTATTATTTTGTATATATTGTATATATTTCTATGAAAGAATAAACAAGTTTAAGTTATTTTGGCATTTAAATTAAACCACAAAACCTGAACTGATTCTCAAACCCTATTTCTCCACTGTAAAGTTACTCGAGGTAGGTATTCTCTCTGTTGAAGAACTAGAGAGACCCTATAGTGCGTATTTAAGGCCATTACCAGCCTAGGTACGACACACACTAACAACACATCATCCTTTATAACTTTATATAAGAGTCCACGTTGCACAACATAACCGCATAGTTTACAACGCTCCTTATCTTCTACCAACGTGCGAATTTTCCCCTCTTCACTTTGCGCTTTTCCGAGGTTTACAATTAGTCCATTGTCAATATCAGTTATTAGTAAAACACTTGGTAACGAATTACGACTTAGTGCATCCACATGCTTCATGTTGTTGCCTGGTAACGCCCATCGCGCTACCCGCAAACACAAGTCATTGTAAACGCTTGACAATCCGTAATTATCCTAAAGGAAATTCCTAGCAGGTAAACCCTAAACTTTTTTAACGTCTTTACAATAGCCAACACTTCTAATTCGTAACTAGAGTATTTTTCTTCAGCGCTCGTCTTTTTACCACTCGCATAATAAATCGGGTGAAATTGTCTGTCTACACTGTCGCGTTGCAATAATAATAATAATAATAATTACTCCGTAACCGCGTCGCGAAGCGTCCGCATGAAGCTCCGTATCAGCACCCACACGATATAAACGTAAAACTGAACCGTTAGTTAGCCTTGTCTTGAAAGTTTCAAAATGCTTCCACTTCAAATTTAAATTTAGTTTCCTTCTTTAATAAATCTGCGAGAGGTCGTGCTATTAAACAATACCGCGGTATAAATTTACGAAAATATCCTGTCAACCCCAGGAAACTTAAGTCTTAACATTTGTCGGTTTCGGAAAATTCATCACCGTTTTGTCTTAATTTCTGATGGCCGCACTGTATTGTTACTATAATAATAATAATAATAATATAAAAACGACTTTATTTGATATAAAAAGTAATACATCAAAAGGACGAAGTTTGATCATTGATCATGGATCATTCTCCCACCCTACTATACATAATGAATTTTTATTTATAAAAAAAAACAAAAACAAAATAAAACATGGTAACTTAATAATTAAAATAAAATATTGTGTAATACAAAAATAAAAATCAAAATTATAAACAAAATAGTTTAATCAAGAACAAATCATGGTGAAAAATAATTTCTTAACAAAAATAAAATAAAATATAAAAGAATAAATATATTATGCGTTTTGCTTCTCAAGGAATTCAGTTTTCAGAAGAAAGCGAAAGGTATCAATAGATAATTTTGTATTTTTAAAACTTGACTTTAACGTGTTATAAGTCTTAACTGAGAGATAACTGAAAGATTTCTGAAACAAAGCCGTGGTGTGGTGGGGCATGGTTAAAGTATGTCACGATCATGAGCTTCACTTCGATACTTTAAATTTTCTCTTAAACATTGTGGTAATGAGGTTTTTAGCGTTTTAAACACAAGACAAGAATAATTAAGTCGAATTAGGTCTGTGGTCGAAATACATTTTCCATATTTAACCACTTTAGACGTTTAAAATAGGGAGATATGTGGTCAAATTTTCTAACATTAAAAACAAACCTGCAACAAGAATTTTGCATCTTTTGAATTCGATTTTTAGTAACTTTATCCAAAAATGGGTAATAAACATGTAAACAGTAATTAAACGTCGATAAAACAAGTGATTCGCAAAGTTGATTTTTGGTTTCTAAATTTAATACATTTATGTTTGCGTATAATGTTTTGAGACGAAGATATACACTTTGTAATAACTTATTTACATAATTTGTGAATTTTAAAGTGTCATCAAAAGTTACACCCAAAATCATAATTTTTTAGAAAAAGTTAGAGGAACATTATTTATGTTTAAATGAAGCGAGCTTATTAAATGATTACGGTTAGGTTCAGAACAAAATAATAAAGACATTGTTTTTTCAGCATTTAATTTTAAATTATGATTTTTTGCATATTTATAAATATAATTTAGGTCTTTATTTGTTTTTTCATTTGTATCTGTGGTGTCTTTAGGGTTAAAAATGTTAATGTAAATTGAATCAACCGCATAGCCTTGTATAAGTGAGCTTCTACACAATCAAATATATCTGCAATGTAAATTAGAAATAAGAGTGGCCCAAGTATTGAGCCTTGTGGTACACCAGAAATAACCTAAATATTCAATTTCCTTTCGTAAAAATTGACACTTACTCCAATTAATTTTTAACCCGTGTTTTGCCGAGATGCGGGTATTATCACATCGTCGATATAAGTTAATACAATCTTACGTTGTATTAGGTCCTTAAACACCGCATTTATAAACTTTTTAAAATATGCCTGCGAAACACTGAGTCCAAACGGTGTCTTTAAAAATTCGTACTGACCGGTGGCGTTACAAAAGCCGTGTATTTTTTACTCTGTTCTTCGACTGGCACATGGAAAAAACATTTTCCAGATCGATCGTCGTAAATATCATTGCACCTTGTAATGAATCGATTTGATCCTCTATCAGTGGCAGCGGGAACTGCAATCGTTCATTTTTCTTTTTGACAAGGACTATTGGACTAGCATATTCTGAGGTTGAAGGTCGAATTATGCCATTGTCCAGCCAATCCTGTATAACAATTTCAACTTCGTCTCTTTCTGCTGGTGACAGTCTTCTCAGTCTGGCAGCCACTGAAATATCGTCTTTCACAATAATTTTCGTGTGAATCCCGACGCTACACGTTTTCTCGGGCTGTTTATTAATTGTATTAGTCTTTCGCGATCACTTAGTTATTTAATCTGTGACAGATCCACATTTGTTACGTCTACTACGTTAATTTTATATATTTCTGGCACATCTGTATTATCATTAACTTCTACTTTTGCGAGAGTAACGTTTTCTTCCTCTTTTTACTCTTAACAATAGGCATCGTTTTAATTGCACTACTAACTACATGAAACGTAATAGGGTATTCTTCCCCATCGAATTTAACCTTGCGGTTTAGCAGCACAGGTGATCCAATTTTAACATATTCGTCTGTCCTCATAAAAGTAAGATCGCTGCCTGTATCTAAAAGCGCCGTAAGCTTTTGACCCCATATTACTACGTCTTTCATGTATTTTTTATCCCCTGTTCGTGACACAAGATTTGATTCTTTTGCTTTTGTGGGACAAACTGTTGCTTTGTGTCTATGTTCATTGCATTTGAAACAGTTGACATCCTTGTCCTTCACTGGAGAGTCTGCACTTACGTGATTTTTGTCACCACAATTAAAGCACCGCCTCGTTTTTGTCGCTGCAGCAGCTGTCGTTGACACTGCCGTCTTCTTTTGGGTTCCTTTGCTGTCGTCTCTCCGTTCTGCAACTTTCGCTTTGTCCTTCATTTCTCTTTTCATACTTATACATATACATATTGAAAAAATTTCTCCTTCAGTTTCTTTATCGTCTTAGCTCCGTATAAAATAGGCTTGTCAACCACATCGTCTGCGATTTCTTCTATTATGTACCTACTGAATTACGGACCGCTTTTCGATCTTTGCCGGTGCCGCGATTTCCAGCATTTTGTAGACGTACTCCTGGTATGTGTTGCTCGTCTTTTTTTTTCTTTCTTGCAATTTTGCGTGAATTCGATGACTATCTACTCTCTTAGCACTTTTTTTCAGCCGATTCCACGTCTTCGCACACCTTTCGTAAATAACGAATAGTCTTGCTGGTCCTGTTAATAACCTTTTTGGGTATTTGTACTTCGGTCCATTCGCACGTTTCGGTCATATCCTCGAAATCTTCTATCTACCGACGCACATCCGCCTGGTCGTCTCCACTGAATTTCTCGAGAGATTCCTCAACGTCCCTAAAGGTTAATATACTCACGGTCCTGCGCGTGACCTGTTGCGGATATTAGGCGTTAACCCTTATCATCTTCTCAGCCCGCTCCGACAATTCGTCGTCGTCTTGCCCGTCGTCTTCGGCGTCGTCTTCTTCTTCGTCTTCTTCGTCGTCATTGTGACCGTCATCTTCTGGTTTGTTTTCTCGAACCCCGTGATTAGTGTTAGCGCATCCATAAGATGATCCACCAGCTCTCGCTTTCTTCCCAACACTGGTAGTAGTCGTTTTAGCTCTTCTTTAAGCTCAGGAACTGTCATGCGAAGCACTTGTTCGTCTTGAGCCCCCAAAAATTGTAGGGATTTAGTTGCTAGATTATTTTTAAGAATAACAAGTCTGTAAACTTTAAATTAAAAATAGTCGTTTATAAAAAATATAAAGTTAAACAACAAATAAAACTAAAAGTAAATATAATACGTCTTAATACACCGATGCGACGGTCGCGTTAAATCTGACTTAGGTACTATTACAAATCTTTGGGGATACTTCACATTCCCACGCATCTATTTTAGTCTATAACGAACTTTTATGTTATCTACACTTTCACACACATATTATCAGTCCTAGACGTTATATACGGTGTGACCCATTTGTTTGCGACTCACCCCTGTAAAATATTTATTTATTGTGTGATTTTAACCGGATTTGTTTTTAAAGTTTAGATCTTAATAAACTGTATTTTTGGAAAAATAATAAAGATAAGACCAGTAAAAACAATAAATCAGGAGTTTACCAATTAACTTGTGCAAATTGCCCTAAAACGTATATAGGACAAACAGGACGCTGCTTTAAAACTAGAATAAACGAACATAGAAAATCATTTATAAACCATAAAACAGATTCCACCTTTGCAAACTATCTTTTCAATGACAACCATAATTCTAATTTTAACTTTAAAATCTTACATATAGAAAACAAAAGTTTGAAACTAAATTTATTATTATTTCAATATATTCAAAAAGTTTAGTGTTATATAACTATAAAGATTACAAGGCATTCCCACAATTATGAAACTAAATGGGGTCGGTAGGGTTGTGTTGTTGAGTTTGGGTTGATTTGGGTTGGTTTCGCTCATTTTTGCGGTATTTTTACAATTTTTGCATTTTTTATGTGACACTCGTCAAACCGGGATTTATTTTATGGCTTTTTTTTCCTTGGGTTTTTTTTCCTATGGGTTTTTTTTCCTAGGGGTTTTTTTTCCGGGGGTTTTTTTTCCGGGGGTTTTTTTTCCGTGGTTTTTTTTCCAGGGGTATTATTTCCTAGATTCATATATATTTATATATATATTAGGGTGGTCCATTTTTTAAGAAATTTTGATTTTATTTGCTCTTAGGGGTTCAAAGGGTTCGAAATAAATAAAAAAATATATTTTCCAAGTTTCAAGTTCCTAACATAATATTAACCCGTGCCGCATTGCAGTTTATGTTTCCTATGTAAATAACATGGTGTTTTCAGCATTGAATAATTAATTATTTATTCCGGCCAAAGTAACTGTTCAAAAAATTTGAAACTTGTCAGAATTTAACCTTATAATAGTAGCTATTCGTTATAATTTTAACGGATTTTTAGCAATGATATTGTTAGAGTTTCATCTATATGATTTTTATTAAATTTAAGAAAATCATGTAGCTAAAACTTTAAAATTATAATAGCTTAAAATCTGTAAAAATTCTGAGAAATAGCCACTATTATAAGGTTCAATTTTGCCAGGTTTCAATTTTTTTTGACAGTTGCTTTGGCCGGAATAAATAATTAATTATTCAATGCTGAAAATCACATGTTATTTACATAGGAAACTTAAACTGCAATGCGGCACGGGTTAATATTAAGTTAGGGACTTGAAACTTGGAAAAGATTTTTTTAATTTATTTCGAACCCTTTGAACCCCTGAGAGCAAAAAAATTCAAAATTTCTCAAAATATGGACCACCCTAATATATATATATATATATATATATATATATATATATATATATATATATACTTAACGACAAAATAGAATACTTGAAAAAAAATATGGTGTCGGTGTGTCAAAGATGAGCTCAATTATTCATGCATTATCGGTATATAAATCTAACTTATTTAACAACTTCAACTTAATTATTAAAATACCCACCGTCGCGACGCGTTGTTACAATTTGTATATAACTACATCAGGCCCTTCGTGGTTTGTATATTAAGTTAATAATATTATTAACCCATTTTCCTATTATTTTAACCCTTTCGCTCATCTTGTATTCAATTGGCAAATAAAAAGTAGATTTGCGATTTGCGTGTCCACTCGATGTAAACACTATACTTTTTTGTCGAATGGAATCGCTTACAAATACACATTTGGGTACCAGCAAAAAAACTTATTAAAATTAAAAATCTGACGTTTACATTTAAAGTCAATAACACTGAAGCGTGGTCATGGTGGCGGGAAGGAATGCAACATTTCTTACCTGATAACAGGGAGGGAATGAAGAAATATATGATAAAGAAAATTTAATATATTAAATTATATATTTTTGTAGGAAATATTAAAAATAAAACTAAATATAATTTTTAAAAAGTGAAAACAATTTATTATCAGAAACGATTTAGGTGAAAAAACATTTTAAATGTAAATTTTATTTATAGAATGAAGGTGATTATTTTCTCAAAATTGTTTATAATTGTAATGTACACTATGTATTTTATTGTCAATAAATTATTTATCTAAATACTGTTGTCAAAGTCATCATCCTCGTCGGAACTATCGTCTTCGAGGAGGATGAATCATCCTCATCCTCATCATCCTGGATGATTGGTCCCGAAACTTTTATTTTTATTATTTCCTACAAAAATACTTCAATATATTAAATTTTCTTTATTTTACGTATTATAACAATTAAATGAAAATTTATTCCAAAACAACACAAAACAGAACGTTATACAAAGCGAAAATTAAAATACAAAAATATGCAACAATTTTGATCATGTGTGTATATAATATATATACTATATATACATCGGATATTTTTATAAATTGATGTATTTAACTTAATATAGAAAGAAAACAATAAATGTATAGTATAAATAAGTGTTTATAATTACATAAATTAAATATTTTGTTAAAAAATAATAAGATTTATAAAAAAAAATATTTTTAGAGTTTTGCTAAAACTCCCGAGTATGTAAAAAAAACTGTTTAGTACAAAGTAAGACCTCCACGTTGGTTTATTACTTCTGTACATCTATTGTTCATAGACAAAATAAGATGGTGAATGACCCCTTGAGGTAAACGTGCCCACTCTGCTGCAAATGAATGCACGATGGGTTGAAGAATAGTATCCAGATAAAGCTGAACTGTTAGGAAGCGATTTAGAAAAACGAGCTCGGTTCTGCCGCCTATAATTATTCCTACCCAAACGATTATCGTACCACCTGTGTATGTGTGCATCCTGAATATGTCTTAAACGTTCCACATTTCCAGATCGTCTCCACACTCTTGTTCGACGAGAATCTGGATGAAATCCAAACCTGGATCCGTCTGTGAATAAAATTGTAGCCCAATCATTTTCAACCCAATTTTGATAATGTTGAAAGCAGTCAAGGCTTGAAGCGCGATTGCCTCTCGAAAGAGGTGATCATCGACTAAAGGGATTAGCTTTGAGAAGACGATTTCTCGTAGTATCTCGGCCAATGGTTACGTAATCCGCCCTTTGTAAAGCCGTAACCAATTCAGGTGCTGTAATTGTAGGTAGCCTTCTTAAAAATCTATCTTGAGCTGCAGTTGTTGAGCGTCCACGTCCTGGATGTTGCTCGGCCGGACAACCAGTTTCCCTAAAACGGCTCGATAATCGACTAATGACACTTTGAGAACACCCATCCGCTCAGCTACTTCAGTTTGCCGCATGCCAGCTTGAAGAAGGCCTACCACTTGGTTCATTTTGTCTACAGTTAAATGTCGTAGTCGTTCAATGGTAAATCAAATATTTTAATTGCACCTACTAAACAAGGGCTTTATAGAATGACTTAATGCGAAACCAAACAAAGTGTAGGATTTCTACTTTTTTCATCTCACGTGTTTATAAAATTTTTGTTATGTTTTTTAATTTTTTTTAACCAACAAATATTTTTATAGTAAGCAACTTTATTAATACATATATTCCAGTATAAGTAGAACGATATTTAAATTAATTTTATCTCGTTTATGATTTTGTAAAAATATCCCTAGACTTTTCTGATGTATATGTATATATACATATATATGTAGTAAATATACTACTATACTCTATTTTTTAGTATATTTACAAGTAAAGGTGGATTTAGCCAGCATGTAATGTAATGTAACGTAACGTAATTTAATTTAAAAGATAAAACTGTATAACCCTATGGACGCGTTTAGCCAGGATATGATTTAACGCAATGTAAGGTAAAGTTGGCCAACTGTTAACTTTCTTAAATTATGTTACATAAAAGTAAATCTGCGCTTGCGCGGCTTAATACCAACCTTGTTATGTTCTGTGTTTATAACAATAAAATTTGCCATCGAATGTTTAAAGGTTAGTTATATTGTTTTGTGCTTAAAAGTTAAGATAATTATTAAGGTTAGTTATATTGTTTTGTACTTAAAATTTTTGTATTATACTCAAAAGAAGACATAATTATCATTCAGTCAACCACAGTCTTGCCAACATCGGTTTAAAAAACACCATGTACTAAATGTTGTATAAACTGCACATTTTTTCTTAAATTACATTAAATTACGTTACGTTGTGGCGTTGAGGTTTTTGTTCGTACCTATTTTTGCGAACGGCTACTCATGTTGTAAACTTTGCGGAGAGCTGGGTATAGTGGATCCATATGGTTTTTTAAAAAGTCAACAGCAACTTACCTTGTGGGCGCCAAGTGATCATTTAAAAGTATTTTAAAAGGTTAGATTGATCACTAAATCTAACGTCTGACTGCACTGAAAAAGGTTGTTATACTTAAAAAAAAAAAGGTGATTGAACTTTAACTGTGTTTAATATTAATAACGTAGAGTTTTAATTTTATCAATTGTGAAATGGGTTTTGTGCGTTTGTCCAAATTTGCAAATACAAGGTTAATATACCGAAGATAGCTATCTGTGGTTCACAAAGAACTTTTATAATAATATTTGTAAAAAAACACAACCCGGTTAAGCGGCTCTTATGTCCGACACAAAATAATTAAACAAAAAGGTACTTAAGGTTCTATTCCTTGTTCAGTTCATGCAGCGGTGGTATCTGTGCAGTAAAATGTTGTTGTCGACAATCGGTGGTAAAATGT